CACCATGGCAGCATCTGTGATGCTAACGAGACTGGTGTCCTGGAGAGGGTCCACTAAAGGGACTGTGTCTGTGACAGTCTTGTTAGTTCAGACATCAAACTGTAGAAGACATAAAAGTAAGTTGGGGGAAAGAATTGCACAAAAGTAGGTCTCGCTTACTTAAGTTACAAAAGTGTGGAAGTTACTGTCTAGACGATGGCGAGATAATGCTGAGGAGAGAAAACTGTCACCACCAGATAGATCCAAACCACTGATACGTATGTGTTATAGATAAGAAATCAAATCAGCAGTCCTCTTGCATCTTTAAGCCTTTTAAAGTTTAAAGCTCAAAGCACTTTCTTGTGCTGTCCTGTGTTCTTTTCAGGAGTTCGCAGCTGCCATGTAGCTGACTGAGTTTGCTTTGTCAAGCGCATTGTGAAGTGTCGAATCAAAGAACTGCTTTGTTTTATTGCATATCTGTCCCTCCAGAGGTGGAACGAGCAGAAGGAGAGTTAAAAGAAAGAACCTGAGACCCACATAGTACAGTGATAGAGCTAATTTAGACATCCTGCCATGAAGGCTGCAAGATAGAAAGAGGGGATAAGGGATCAATGTGGATGAGAAAGCAAAAGAAAGAGAAAGCAGTAAACTGAGAGATGTGTTGGAGTTACGCAGGACGAATGGATAGTGGACAAACTGAAGGACGTGGTAAATTTGGTCAAATACCACCAAGACGACTTCTTCACTAAGCCAACAAAAAAATGGCAAAATAGCACAAAGAGCAGACCAGTGATGGCTAACATTACTTTTAAAAATAACATTTTACATTAGAATATTAATGTACTTTAAAAAGAAACAATTTTGCTTCAGTGCTACTGAGAAAAATAATATTTTAAGTTAATTTTGTAAATGGACTGGTTCTTATATAACGCTTTTCCACTCTTCTGAGCACTCAAAGCGCTTTACACAACTTGTGCATTCACCCATTCACACCAGCACAACTGACATTCACACACATTCATACTCCGATGAATGCATCGGAGAGCAATTTCAGGTTAGTATCTTGCCCAAGGATATTTGGCATGCAGACTAGGGGAAGCCGGGAATCGAACCACCAACCTTCCGATCAGTAGATGACCTGCTCTACCACCTGAGCTACAGCCACCCATATTTTAAGTTAATTTTGTATTACCTTTATTAAACATTACTTTGCAGTTATTTGCTTGGAAAAAAAGCTTCTGGACTTCTTTACGTTTCTTGAAGACGTTTCATCTGAGAAGCTTCTTCAGTTCTAAGAGCAATTGGTGGAGAGTCCCAGATTTTAAGCCCTATGGGAGTGTCCCCCCAAGACGGTCATGGACCCCCTATTGATCCTCTACCTAATCACATGAGTCAAGGTGTGAACCACAGTGAGCCCCCCCCATCATGCAATTTCCTGAGGTCAGATGGCCCAGGGTGTGAGTGGGCGTTAAGGCGTCTGAGAAGGGAACTCAAAACTGGATTATAGATGGCAGGCAGTGGGTGACATAAACCCCCGCCTCTGTTCAAAGATGGTCATTCACACTGGACATAGATGGCTTCTTTCACTCCTCTTTCAAACCGTCTGTCTTCTCTGTCCAAGATGAGAACATTGGCATCCTCGAAAGAGTGACCTTTGTCACCAAATGCTCTTAGAACTGAAGAAGCTCCTCGGATGAGAGGTGAAACGTCTTCAACGTCTTATATTGGGCAGTGTGTTGCCCACTGTCCATCTCTCCATGAGTGTAATTATTCATATGAATAGTGGAATCATTGAGTCTTAATGTTGTAAAAAGTAATGTTAAGTCAAGTAAAGTGGCTGTATTGCCATTCCAACCATGTGCAGTGGTTTAGTACACAGTGAAGTGAGACAACGTTCCTCTAAGACCATGGTGCTACATATGACATATAACATCAACACAGGGTTACATAAATGTGCAAAAATTACAAAAAAATAAAACAAAGACAGTGCAACACCAGACAGAACAGAACGATACACACACCCGACAGTGCAGACACACTGGAAGTAAGTCAATAATGTTGCCTACTGAGAAAAGTAACTCCAAGTACTTCTATGTTACTGAAAACACCTCTTTGCCATTAGCTTGAGTACACTGACTACATTGTCCAGGAGTTGCTTGCCCTAGAGTACATTTATTTCTGAGTGTATGGATTTTATTTCATTGCATGCCAACAACAAGCTTATTAATTTCCCCTGGAGTAACAATCTGAACTAAAAGCTAGCCAGGGATTTTCTTTTGTCTCACAAAGAAAACCACAAAGGAAAATGTACACACTCACCTGTTAGTAAATGTAAAATCCTTTACAGTACTGTAAACACTGTACTAAGGTGATGGGCAGCTGATTGTGTGTTCAGCTTATTACCTTATTAATGATGAGAGATGAATTATTGTAATTGCAAATGCCTGAATTACACTAAATACAGGAACAAATTGTCTATATCGCCTCAGTGTATAATTTGAATATATTGTTTAGACATCAGTGCTTTCAGTGGGTAACACAGTGGGCTCATGTCATCAAGGTTTTGGGTACAAATCTCCTCTTTGCATTGGAGTCACTGTCGAGTTTGAATCTTCTCCCTGTGCGCATTTCCTCCCACATACCCGAGATCTGGTCTGGTGGTTTTTAAATTAGCCGTAGGTGTAGCTGTGAGTTGTGGTCTATCTGTATTAGTCCTGTGATGGACAGTCCAACTGTACAGGGTGTACCCCACCTCTCATTCATGACAGCTAGGATGCTCTCCTGCTCCCCCACGACCAAGAGTTGGATATTGTACCTCAGATCCATGATTTCCTTGTTTTTTTTCCCATCCATGTCTTTTCTCAGCAGTGTGCATACACGGAGCAACATCCCTGTTTTTCTATTACTTCCCTCCATATGCACCATTATATAACACATTTGTCATGTTTGCAGCTATGGGACTGTGTTAGTGTATCGCATCTGAATAACTCATAATTTCTGGGTTCGTAATATTGTGCAGTATTCCCAGCCTCACACTTTCTTCTTCAGACACTCTCAATCAAACACAATAGTACAAATGATTTAACATGCCAGAATTAAATCCCCCATTCAAGTGGCGGCATTTGACCAGCTGTGCCACTTAACTTCAATTTTTAATATGAAATGATGTAAAAATGCTTTGTGCTGTCAGTTTAGTGCAATGTTGTTTATTTCTTTATAGCAGAATCCTAAGGAAACATTCCACAGATGATTTTTTTCTCTTTTTCTGCAGACATCGCTATTTTTTCTTTTTCTTCTTCTTTTTTAAGCTCACGTTTGTAAATCTCCATACAAGGATGGAGCTTTTCTGAGAACAGCAGCTGACTTTTAGGAGTAATTTGGACTTTTGAGAGTTAACAAACATGATTCAGCTCTGAAACTTTCTCTTTCATTTTACATGATGTAAAACTGCAAGTTCTAACTCTCAATGGCAGTGAATGACTGTCAAGGTTGGGTTGACCTTTTCACCCAAGAATCTGGCTGTTCCTGTCCATCGGCCCATTGCAGGAGCTGCGCCATCAGTTGCAAAGCCAACAACCTGTGCGCATATCGTTTCTGCAGAAATGCTGCGCTGGTGCATAATTCCAAATCGCAGTTTCACACACTGCAGAAAAACATGGAACGATGTATGCATTTATACATGTGGCACAGTAACCGCACCAACACACCAACAACTCGGAACCTTACAGTAAATAATGCCAATGTTCTTCCACATACATTATGTTGGCTTCTAAAACTAGATGTCAGGTTTACATGGAGGAATAGTTTATAACAATTTAAATTTCTAACACCCCTGAATCATAAACATACTACATACCGATTCTTTTTTGGCCTCCTCTGATTTATCTGAACTGTCACACTATTTTCAAAGAGAAAAAAATGTGTAAAACTCAGTCTAGGCTGATACCTGATGTGTGGCTCCTGAAAGCTTCGCTCTACACATCTGATGGAGATGACAACAGATTATCAGTTATTTACTGTCTTATTGCAAAAAGATTGCATGTGTGTGACAACTTGACCTATTTCAATCAAGAACTGATAGTAGACACACTCGATCTTATTGCCGTTCTGTTGCTGCCTCAGCACAGCTGGTTTGAACACAGCAGCTGACTGCAAGTGGTTTCAGACCTGATCGCGCTTCCCAAAGCAGGGAGATCACATGGTAGCAATAATTTCGGTCATGCCTCATTATTCGACCACTCTTTAAACTAGTGTGACTGTACCCTAGGTTATAAATGCACAGAAGATAAACTAGTGATTAAATAAAAAATAAAGTTATTAGAATTTCTGCCTTTTACCTATAATATTCACTTAAAGTCAATTCAGGCTTTTTATAATGTGAAGTAAAGGCCTCAAAATACTACGATCTCCTATGATCCCTGCACATGCTGCAGGGGTATATAAACATGTTGGGAGGGAGGAGAGGTGAGTGGAGAAGAAGTGCTCAGTGTATGACATGAAATCCTGCAGGAGTCCACAGCAGCATAACTAAGGGATAACCCCGAGGCCCTGAATCATCTTAGTTATGCATACAATCACAATGCAGCAATCCATCTTGCCTTATTTTTTTTTATCTTTTTTGCCTTGTTGCAACATAAAATATTCAGAAATCAAGGGTATCTGTGACACAGTTCATTGTTGCTTGAAGAGCTGTGGCACAACCAGATGCCTTTGTGCTCTTGAATTCATCAAGATAGCAGCAACCTCCCTCTGTTCTCCACACAGCACAATACACCTCAGTCAGGAAAGAACTGTGTTGTGAAAGGTGGGAGAAGACGGAAACAGCATAAATTGACTCTTTCACGATCAGCCCCCACAATCGAGGCAGAAGACACTCCTCGTCTAAAAAAATCTAAATATATTATGATTAGAAAGGAGCAGATTCAGTCTGAGCAAACTTTAACATCATATGTTAAAATGCATGTGAAGGATTCGTCCTAATATGTTGCATTTATTTTGCTTTTTCTCTTCTGTTTCCCCAGTGCTGCAAACGGCCATCCCAGTCTCGCCAGGGAAACGTCTGCGAGTCCAGCTTTTCACACTGCAGCATCACGACTGCGCCACCCAGAAGCTCCAGAGGCACAGTAAAACATCACAGGTATGACATTTAATTGCACATGCAGAGACATCCAGGCTTTATGTTGTACTCCCCCTCTGTTCACTGCAGGAAACGGTAATAATGCAGAATATAGCAACAATGGGCAACTTCAATGTCCTTTCCTGTAATCAGCATAGACTCAGTGAAGAGAGAAATTGAATTATCCACATTACAGTGCAGACAAAGCTAATTGCTGATTTATAGAAGAATGATAGTAATTATAATTATAGCTATAAACACATTAATAAGCATATCCATAACAGTCATGAACACAGAGGAGATGAGACAGAGATAAAATCAGAAGAACACAAGCCAGCGCAGACGTGTATATCCCAGTCGGTCTTTCCTCACAGCGTTCAGCGGTGTGTCAGAGCTGCCTGGGATTTTGGCATGTTCGTCAGCAGGAATATACTCAAACATGCACACAGGAGTGTCTGCTTCTGAGAGTTCACATTCAAATCCTTGCCAAAGCTGTTTTTTTCTGTTACAGTACACACGAGCAAACACATTCACAGCACTTTGCAGGGAGCTCCTGCAGATTGAGTTTATACATTAGACCATTTGCCGGTATTTTGATTTCACAGTTCAAGGGAATTTCGGTAAACGAAGCACTGATTTAATAGCAGATTTCATGTCAGCATGTGTGTGAAAAAGACTTTCAATTTATCATTAAATCTAAACTCAACCCCTTTTAAACACTGACCCAGTTGGAAATCGTCAAACATCATGTGTAATGCTTTTATTTTTGGCCTTCTCTTCACTATGGCAGTTCAGTTAAAGGCATCCGCCTGTCAGTGCACACATGGATTTCTACCTGTTACTGCTAAGCAACTCCAGGAGCAGCTGGGGGTTAATCTCCTTTCTTCAAGTGGATTCAAGCAGTAGTTGAGATGAGATTTTCCCAGACAAACCAGAAATAGGATCAGACAACCTTCCAACCACAAAGTCCACCTGTCTAACCTTTTGGCTAAACTCCTGCAAGACTTTCCTCCCTCCTTTTTCTCTATATGTGGTTGTTCTCTGTGAAGAAAAACATTACTTGGTTCCTCTTACCACAAATGATTTTATTAGAAACCAATCAGGGTTTGTTTTTTGCAACCTCATCAGCTCAGGGAGAGAGTTAGAGGCTATTGTCGGGATCCCAGAGTGTTCTGGGACACCACAGTCTAAAATAGCTGGGAAAAAAACAGCCCAAGACTAATTCAGTGTTGCAGGATTTATCTCACATAAAAGCCTTTATAGAAAACTCTGCCAGCACTATTAAAAGTCTGACTGTAAGCTTCCAGTTGTTACAGCCAAGAAGCCCATTTTTAGAGGAAAATCTAGCCTTTAAAACTGCAGCGTTTTATGAATGAAAGCTTGAAATGGTGTTTGGACAAAAAAAAGAAAAAACTTTAAAGCTAAACTCAAAATACAAGAGCAGCATGAAGAGGGAATTTGCTTCTTGAGTAAAGCAAGTTTCTTCAAAGGTGTTTTTTTCCTCTTTTTTCTTCTGATGAAACTCCGAGCACATATCCTTTTTCTGCTACATGACCTTCTGTAGTAATCATTTTGGAGACCCTGGAATTTCAGCACAGGGAGCTTTTTTTTATCAATTTTTAATTCTCACTTTTCACACTTTCATCACACAACTATAAAGATCGGCGCTTTGGTAGTGATCAACAGTGAATATTTAAAGGTTCAGCCAGCAAATGGGGGTGGAGCCACATGACATAATCAGCATATACATGAAGTTAAAGATGAGGAATGTGCTCAGAAAGACTGTTAGAAGCAAGAGAACGTGTCCTGGCTTTTTCACTTATGAGGTGAACAAGAGAGAGCAAGAAACATAGAAAGGTGTTTCTGGGCCAGAAGAGCAAGAGCTTGCTGCAAAGCAATACTGTACATGGATGTTCTGCTAGGACCAATGGATGAACTCGCTGCTAGTAAGCTGAAGTAGGCAAGTTTTAAGTTAAACTTTTCCCAAGTTCAAGACAAGTACTTAAAGCAATGGCAAATGAGAGTTGACTGACATATGAGCAGCTAGTAAATAAATAAACTCTAGGGTTACCAATTTAGCAACTAGAGCTGGAAATGAGCATTAGCAACACGCCAGCTGAAAGAAGCAAATTTAAAATGAGCCATGATCAAAACAGAGCTGTAAGAATCAATGTGCACTGCTAGCATAACATTACAGAGTAACATGCCAGCACACGTAACTGCAAAAATCTAATTAAACAGCACAAATACTCTTTTTAAATTAATTTAACTTCTTTTATCTTCCTCAGAAGCAGTTCCCTGTCTCACAGCCCTGACCAGAGAATGCGGGCAGCCCATTGGTCAGCTTCTCGCCGGACTCCACCCATACCCAAAGGAAGATTAAACCCAATTGGAGTTTCCAAGTATTCTGGCCCCGCCTACCAGCACCTTCAGGAAGTGGATTCATCTGAGAAGGAAGCAGAAGCACAAAGAGGGTAAGAATTTACTGAAGGTAGATACCTGCAAATGAAAAATGTTAATCCACATAAAAGAATAAATATATATATAGACACTACCAGTCAAACGTTTGAACACACCTTCACATTTAATGGTTTTTCTTTAATTTTATTACTAAAAGTTGGAGGTACATACTGAAGACATCAAATATATGCAAGATATATGGAGTTATGTAGCAAAGAAAAAAATGATAACTCCATATATGTTTTATAATTTATATTCTTCAAAGTAGCACTGGCCAGCTTTGGCCTTCTCTCAGTGAGCTTCATGATGATGTCACCTGAAATCGTTTCACATCACAGGTGTGCCTTGTCAGGGTTCATTTGTGGAAATTATTGCCTTCTAAATGGGGTTGGGACCAGCAGTTGTGTTGTCACAAGTCAGGTTGGTACACAGCTGACAGCCCTATTTGACAACTGTTATGGCAAGAGCCAATCAGCTAAGTAAAGAGAAACGACAGCAGTCCATCATTACTATAAGAACTGAACTAAACTACAGTAAATTCCCCAAGTGCAGTCACAAAAACCATCAAGCGCTATGACAAAACTGGCTCACACGAGGACGCCCCAGGAAAGGAAGACCAAGAGTCACCTCTGCTGCTGAAGATAAATTAATCCGAGTCACCAGCGTCAGAAATTACAGATAATGCCAAACAGAGATCCAGACACATCTCTACATCAACTGTTCAGAGGAAACTGCACAAATACAGCTTTATGGTCAGATAGCTGCAGGAAACCACTACTAAGGAAAAGCAACAAACAGAAGAGATTAGTCTGGGCCAAGAAACAGAAAGAATGGACATTAAACCAGTGGAAATCTGTGCTTTGGTCTGATGAGTCCAAATTTGAGATCTCTGATTCCACCCGCCATGTCTTTTCGCAGTGCAGAAAAGGTGAAGGGATAGTCTCTGCATGCATGGTTCTTACCGTGAAGCATGGAGGGGGAGGTGTGATCTTGTGGGGATGCTTTGCTGGTGACACTCTTGGGGATTTATTCAAAACTTGAAGACGCACTGAACCAGCATGGCTACCACAGCATCCTGCAGCAACATGCCATCCCATCCTGCTTAGTTGGACCATCGTTTATTCTTCAACAGGACAATGAAGGAGAGTGATGGAGTACTACACCAGAAGGCCTGGCCTGCACAGTCACCTGACCTAAACCCAGTGGAGATGGTTTGGGATGAGCAGAGTGAAGGCAAAAGGGCCAAGTGCTCAGCATCTCTGGAAAATCCTTGAAGCTCATCGAGAGAATGCCAAGAGTGTGCAAAGCAGTAATCAAAGCAAAGCGTGGCTTTTTTGAAGAATCTAAAATATAAAAGATGTTTTGAGTTAAACTGTGTTTAGTTTTCTCCAGACGATGCACAGTGCATTATGGCCAGACATTTCCACTTTAGTCCCATCTTTCCAAAGGACATTGTTCCACGAGTCTTGCGGTTAGTTCAGACACACATGTGCTGCTGTGTTCTTTAGAGAGAGGTTTCTCCTGTCAGCCCTTTAAAACAAGCATGTTCACTTGTCTTCTAATTGTACCGTCATGAACTGAGGCCTGTAGAGTATGACAGGTTTTAGGTGTAAGGATTGCTTCAAGATCGAGGATGGCTGGAGATTTTATTGACACCTCATTCTTGGGTTTGTTTGGAGGTTTTTTTTTAGATTTCTTTCATTCTGTATCTTCCAAATGCTGAGTCATTTCAATAAAAAAATCATTAACTGAAAAATGCAGCCGTGCTACAGACAGACAGTTTTCAAGAGCGAATATTTCAAAGTCAATTCTGTTTTTATATTTTTAAAAGCCAGCATTTTCTTTCTTTTTTGTACTTTTCTCCCCTTCATCCATTTTGTTTCCACTCTGCTGAGAAAAGATAAAAACGAGATCACATTATGTCGTGGTCTGCAGCAATGTGGCACAAGTTCAAGGGAAACATTTCACCTGGTCCGTGCTTTTAAGGACTAGATTCAGACTGGACATCTGCATCTTGTCGTACTCTGTCAGGTAAATCACAGATTTCAAATGTAACCCTCCTGTGTTACATGTCTCAGATGAAACTGTATGTGCTTAGCAGCCAGAGCGAATGATTAGCAGAAATTTATTCGGTGTGAAAGATGCTGTGCTCTGACCCATTTTTTTTGAGGGGGGAATCATGAGTCACTGCTTTACCCACCTGGACTGGCAAGCTTCACTTCAGGCATTCAGGTCCCAACAGTCCCAGCTCAGGATTAATCTCTGCATGACCTACATGCATACTAAAATAAAGAGGCAGAGGAGATGGACACAGCTGGACAAAAAGCTCTCACTCATATAACAGCGTATAAAAATCCAGTGATGTGCATTGGAGGTGAGCTCCCCCTGCTCCTGAAGCTTTATTTACACATCATTTGCATGAACATCGCTAAAGAGCGACTGTTGAGCTGCATAAGTGTGTCCTTAATCAAATGTCCCATTCAAATGGCTCTCGGGTCAACTCAAGTGTTTCCTGCAAATCCTAAAGTCCACCACCAGAAATGAAAATGTCAAACACAAATTTAACGGAATCAGTTACTTTTTTGTTAAATTAATGTAAATAATCATAGTTATTCTTATAGAATTCAGTTGTTTAATTGAAGGAATGCAGCAAACCCACCGTAATAACCACCAGAACTATTTCAGCTAGCTGTGGATTGATATACTGATGGCTAAAACAAGACAACTGAACCAGTTTGGTTAGGCTATGAAGTCTTCATTTTACAACCAGTTTTCCTTTATTGTGTTCAACATTTTCCGAACTTACAAGATGACTTTAAACAAATTGTACAGATCTGCTACATAACCAGAAACTTGTAACAGGATATTTTACAGAGAATTCAGCTTTATAAACAATATGCAAGGACCAAGATTTATAGTCCAGGTCTTAATAACCGAACACGTTTGAAGAGACTGTTGATGCATGCTAGAGAGCCATTGCATTTGCTGAAGTGCAATCTTAAACCATTTTTATTACCGTTTTTTAAAATTATCTACATTCTTCAACAACAACAGATAACACAGTAAGAGCTCTCAGCCTGGATATGGCTGTACTGGAATCCCCTTTAAAATTAACCATTACGTGCTCAGTCAGCAGATTAATCAGTGGCGTCCTAGATTTAAAGTGAAGTAACTGTCTGGTCAGAACAAAAGTGCCCACATGAGCTCAAGTGTTCTCTGATCACAAACCAATCAGCTCATATGTTAGCTCACGGCTTCTGTGGTAGCTCTGGTAAGCCTGGTAAGGACTCTCTGATTGGGCCAAATAATTCCTCTTTTTAGCCCAAGCAGTCTGTGAGAAACAAACCCAGGCAAACCAGACTTGGATTGGTCCAAATTTCATCAGCTTCAAGTTTATCTTGGTTATCAAAGGGCTCCCACTGGTTGTGATGTGCATTCTGCTGGATCTACGTTTAAGCTTAAATTGAGTAAAGCATTCGTTTAGGCGGGCCAACATCAGAGTATGGGGCATAATATTTGAATGGGGAAGGAGGACCAGAAGAGGATGCTAGGGGATAAGGTGAGATAGAGCCAGAGGAGCTGAAAGAAGAAGAATCCGAGTGCATTTGCTGCACATATAGAAGATGCTGTAGCTCTCCCTTTCATATATATGTTAGTGTGTACAATAGTACTGGCAGGTTAAAGACAAAGCCCACATAATGTCTGAATCCACTGATACCGGCCAATCTACATTTGCCATTTATGTGTCTCCTGCATGCTCTTTGCAGGCAGTTCATCACCTAAATCACACAAAGTACTTACTGTAGTGTCATGAGCAGTGTTGGTCAAGTTACTTGAAAAAAGTAATCAGTAACTAATTACTGATTACTTCCCCCCCAAAAGTAATCCCATTACTTTACTGATTACTTATTTTCAAAAGTAATCGGTTACTTAGTTACTGAGTTACTTTTTAAAAACACGATTTACAACCTGAAGAGGTGATAAAGCGATAGATCTTTCAGCCCAATTCTACTTTTTCTGCATAATCCATCATACAAAATGTAATCAAATGGAAAAGTCTCTTTTTTTAACTTGTTTTATTAGTTTTAATCTTTTAACTTTATGCATCAAGCAAAAATTACATTATGTGCAACATTCTCTGACTGGAAGAAATTAGTTTAACATTTAAACCTATTTTCTGCACATTCCAGCACATAAATAAAATATTTTTTTGTTTTTACACTCAGTCTTTCAAATAGATGCAAGTAAAACACAGCAGAAAATAAATAAAGTCAAAGACTAGCGGTCCTTTTGCTCTATTTTCACCTGTAAAGCAGGAGTGGGGCAGGCGGAGGTTTACCCTGGTGCAGGTGAGCCGCAGCGGTCAGTGGAAGAGTCCGCGAGTTTCTCTGTGAGTTTCCCATTACGTGGTAGCGCACTCCTGCACTCGATATATTATCCATTGTTGATCTGCACACAGCTCTTGTCACGAACGTCACACTCGTTTACGTCACTGTCGTGAGACATTCTCGCAAAAAAATCACGGTTTGAGTAACGCAGTAATGCAGCGTTCCTACAGGAAAGTAACGGTAATCTAATTACCGTTTTTGCAATAGTAATCCCTTACTTTACTCGTTACTTGAAAAAAGTAATCGGATTACAGGAACTGCCCATCTCTGGTCATGAGGAAAGGATAACTGGGGAAATATCCTGGGTTGATTTTTTCGAAGTAATCCAATGTTCATGTGCAGAAAAACAAACTAAGAGCTTACGTACCCTTTGGTGCTCAAACTTGGCTCAAATCCTTCTGCCCTTGTCCAGAGAATATCCGTGCGCTCCACTGCACTGCATTCCAACTCCTTGTCATGGAAACGCACACTCATGCATGCTTTCACAGATGCTGCATGAAAATCCCACATAGTTCGGGTACGAACACGTGAGCAGGTTGTGCAAAATATACAGGAGGTCATGCTTACTCGCTTACTCAGTCTCACACTTAGTACTCACATGCTCAAACGCATGTATTCAGACTGAGTCACTGACCTGCACGCACTCGCTCACCTACTCGCTTACTCGCCACCTAATGTAAGATTTCACATAAGAGCAGGTGGACCGACAGACAGCAGCATCGCTCTCCCATAATACGGTTGTCTGGGTTGCCATGGAGACATTTGGCCATTGCTGCATAGAGTCTGAGTGAGATAGAGAGGCATAAGCTTCGGGATACAAGTAGTTTGTTTTTTTTAAATGCAGTAACCTTTAAGAAAACGGCAGCAAAGAAGTAAAAAGTCATGAAAGAGAAGACAACGTGACAGTTTGGAAATGTTTTAAAGAAAGGCTGCTCGTTTCTTTTCACACCTCTCTGGGAAACCTAGTGTTATCTCAACAAAATGGATGACGGAGAGAAGTTGCATGAATTTATTTGTTTTCTTTTTCTGTGGGACATGCTGGATTTCCCCTCCTCTCGATTTGTCGTATATGCACAACCTTCAATTAGAGAAAACACTGCTTTTTTAAGTCTTGATGAGTAGGCGTGCACACCTACCTGCAAATAAAATGCACGCATGCTCCTTCTTTGTACGTTTCTCAGTGTTGTAAGATGACTGCGTCGTTTAACAAAAGGGATCGTATTCTGAATTTATCAACAGAAACAAGGGATATATTAAGAAATGATCTGTAGGGCAATAGATTAATGAAAATGACTGTTAACACTTGTACATGTAATGAGCTCCCATTAAAGATAAAAGGCTGGTCACTTATCTCACCTCACTTGCACACAATCTCTCTGTAATTCCCCCGTAGCTGCTGCCGCTTCGCTCCGGGGTCTATATTTGAACTGTGCTTCATAGACTTTTGCAATCTGATTGTGTTTCAGCCCATCAAAAGAGAGATTTGTCTGTGAATGTTATCTTGGGAATTAGCACCCTCGCATCATCCTCTCTTATCGCTTGCAGGATCCTCTCTGTGGGCCCACTAAACCTCCGCTGTCATTTTCGGAGAGGTTTTCATGTCTCGGAAAAACACTGCGGAGATAAAACAAGGATGCGATTTCCTTTGAGTCTGAAAAGGCACCTTCTCCACCCACCGCTATTTTTGCACACTTTGATGGAGAGCAGAAGCGTGTGTGATGAGGGTATCATAAGGAAGAGGGACCCCAAGTTTAATCTGAACATGGCAATAAAGGCTTGGCTTGGCAAAGGATTATGAATTATTACACAAAGATAATGAAGCTCTGCTCTTGATTACAGCTGAATTTAAACACTGATAATGCTGAGGGGAATGGTCAGTCCTGGAAAGAGGACGAAAGCGTTTATGTTCAAGAAAGACAGAATAACAAGACCCAAGTGCCTATACTGTTGCACAAAAAATCTGACTTCTCCACACTTTTATTCATTTTCCATACAGACGCTCGCCATAATTGACACAAAGAAAGTAGAGGCTAAAGTTACAATGGAGATAAAAGTGTGGAATAACAGTAGTGGTTTAATAAGCAGTTATTGCCTTTATTGAGCTGATACAGGCAGGTTAGTGCCCGCTTTCTGCATAAGCGAGATTTTTATGTCTATATAAAGAAGACAAACAAATCCTCTGATTGCAAAAAGATTGCGTACAAGTCTGTGAGAAAATGACCCTACTTCTTACTCGATTTGTGGTGTCAGTAAATATTTTGCTAACATGTTTATGCTCTCAGTTATTACACCCAAGTATTAGCTTTTACAGCAGGATGTTTTGCCTTGTAATGTATAGAGTTATTTACCAACTATAGCAGGTATGTGCATTAGCATATGGACAGGGTGACAGCCAAAGTGTCAAACTTACACCTTCAAAGACGTCCAACATTCTCTGGTGCTTAGATCCATCTTTTTGCACCTTATTGCTGACTAAATATTAGTTAGGTTTCATTTTTTCACCATGTAACTGTAAGCTAGCAATCGGTTTCTACTTCAAAGTTCATGATTTCCACCCAGTGCCAGCATTTACAAACATATAAGGGTGTAAGTCATGTTTGTGGACTGATCTCTGTGAGTTCTGTGCCAGAGCTTCAGTTAGCAATCACAGGTGAATCACAAATCACAATTATCACAAATAATCATGATTTTATTTTAATATCTTCAATCATAAGCCTTTCCTAACTATTACCAAGAGTTGTATCAGCCCAATATCAACTTTGTCTTTGCAGCAACCAAATTTTGGGGCACTCCAAACGACAGTGGTATCTCCGTCTTCCTTTCCCTCTCTTCCAAAAACGTCTCACGCATCTATAACCTTGCATCGAACCTGCTTCACATGAATATGAAAATGCAATGAGCCTTTTATATGTCTGTGTATTAGCAAATGTTCATCAGTATTGCTGTTGGAGCAGTGCAACAGGATAAGTGACAGCAGTGCATCTTTGCATCAAGCCAGACTTGAAAATGACACAAATACTGATGGTTTCGGTCTCTTTTGGCAGTCAGCTTTCACACCCCAAAGTTAAAACTGTTCTGTATTCTCACTGTGAGGAAGGTAAAAGCAGTGGCTCCTGTTACGTTGCTGTCTCACCGCACCTTTTACTTTGAATGCTCTGACAACAAATAAATAAATAACACTCCAGACAGCAGTGTTTTTTACTCCGTGAGCCGATCTCTGCCTGTAACCTGGTTTCTTGTGTTCATGTAAATGCCGCCACTGATTGTGAAAGAGTAGCGGGCACACAATGAAAGGTATAATTTGGCTAGGCTGAGCACGAGGACAAACAAGCTAAGGCTAATGGGAACAGACAGACTAAATCAGTAGAGCACAGAAATGGAAATGGACTGAAATACTGATTTACCCAGCAGCGCCATTTGAACATACAGTACTATACACGGGATGTTGACAGGTAAAGCAGCACAAGTCAGATTTGTGAAAACATTCAAATCTGAGGGGTGAGGAAGGAGAAGCAGGCACTGAGTATTATGGTGCTGATTTAAAAACGTGAGTGCTGTTTTGCACTTTATGTGCACAAAAGCTTTTCAAAGTGAACGATCTTGACCGAAAACCACTTTCTGCTTTTTTTAAGGAGGAAAAATTAGCACACATGATGTGACTGCCTCAGTTGTCCTTGAGAAAAGCTCGCCACCTTAAACACACACTCTCCGACACAAACACAGTCATTAAAATCAATAATTAAAAAATGAACTCTCTGTTACCTCCTTACTTATGTAAAGGAGTTGAGGGTTTTTTTGAGTGCGTGTGTGCAGACTTGGATATAAAGAGATGAAAGAAAAATGTCAGACTCATCTTCTTCCCCCTCCGCATCCGTGGTTAGCCTGTGAGATGGCAGAGGGCGGAGAGCTGCGCCTGTGTGTATTCTGTCAGGGCTTCAACGTGGGAGTTTGAAAAAGCGATTGAGTTGAAAACACACCCGAGACACGATGACTTCTCCAAGTGAAGTGTGGAAGTTTTTATCCAGCTGAATAACCTTCACTCCTTTCCTTTTCCTTTTTTGTCTCTGTCTTGTTTGTCTTCATTCCCCATTTTCCTTCTTCTCTAGTGTCCAAGTGCAGGGAGAGAACCAGTGTGATGACACCTTCCTACATATGCAAGCTCCTGCGATGCAGGCATTGTCGCCATCGCCTTGGAGCGGCTGCGTGGAGGTACGCGCACATCTGTGTCCTCCATCTGAACCCAATCCCACCACTCGCAGCCTGAGAAGGCCGGGACGCCGTCAAAGCCACTCCCCACCTCCCCCGTTCCGCTCCTGCTCTATTCCCATCATTCCATCTGTGCAGTGTCACCATGACAATGAGGTGTCTTGCATGCAAACCACCCCAGCGACCACAACGATGTCAGTCACCTGTGGGGCCATGCCTTGCAAGGAGGAGAAGAATGAAAAGGCAGCGCACGCCCCGTTGTTTTCATCTTCCTGCTCGTCTGCCATTGGACGGCAGCAGGATGAGGTGGCCCTGCTGCTCGAAGAGGCACAGGAGCAACTCAGGGCGTTGGCGCTGGCTCACAGGAAGCAGGAGGGGGGCGGAGTCTTCACCGGCACCTCAACGGTTGCGCTGGTGGAAGCCAGAGAAACTGTTTGCTTCCTGAACGTTAACGGAGGAAGTGCCGGGGCGCTGAGCTGTAACGGACCCACGCAGACCCAGCTACTCAGCCCCAGCCTATCACACAGAGACCTGGGCCAAACCGGCCAATGAGAGGGCACGATTTAGGACATTCACTTACTGTTTTACACTGTTTGACAGACTCTGGTGTTCTGCATCTGTGGGATGAGAATGAAAATGCTGAATTAAAAAACAAAAAAGAAAAATGTAATATCATGGATAATCCGAAATGTGCTGATGATATGCATACTGTATGTACACGAGCATACAAACACTTCTCGAGTGGCCGCCTTTACACCGACTGACAGTATGGAAAAAGAAAAAAAAAATATTCACATGCATTTATTTACCAAACAAGAGAAACACTTCTACTTAGACAAAAAGAAACCAAATAGTCTGTCAGATCCATGGTGTTTTTAATTGTAAAAAGAATATATAAATATATATATATAAATATATATGGATATAAATATATGGAATTCAAAAGTGACCAAGTAAAGTTGAAGAACACAGGAATGATGTAACTATTTTTGTTTGTTTTTTTCGTTCTCTTGGTTTTGTATTCTCACATTTTGGTTCTGGCTCGATGAAGAACTCCATTAATGTCCCGCCGCACGTCCGCGAGTCGTGAATCGGATTCTGCGAGCCTGCGCGGAATCAAAAACGACCAACGAGAAAAAGGAGCCACCACACCAATTTCACCCCCCTTTGCCTTTTGAAAAACTGTTACCCAGCCAAGAATTACAACGCAGCCGTCTGTGGTAATCAAAAACACTTTGAGGATTTACGACGCAAAACAAAAACTCCCCAGCTTTGTGTGTGCGCGTGTGTGTGTCTGTGCTGGGAAGCCACGAGGGACGAGACAAGGAAAAACTAGGGTTTCATTTGGAGCCACTCGGATTTGGGAGGGCAGATTGTGGAGATACTGACTCCAGTTTGGCCAGTGTTGGAAACCAGTCTAGATTATTTTTGTTTTTATTACAAATTATATTTTCACACTCATATGCACACACGCTCGCCTGTGAATTATTATTTGGTTGCTTGAACGAATGAACAGAAGGACTGAGAAGGACAGTGGGCTACGGGGCTCTACGGGAGTGGATGTTTGTTTTGTTTTCCATTTTTTTGGTTATTAATGAACAATGCTGCTTTCTGGGGCTGATGGGAGGGACAACCACATGGTTTTGGTATTGAAACAAGAAATAAATGTCTCTATGTTGTATCCTATGAATTGGAAGCTTTTGAATCTCTGTATGAAGTTACAGCCAAATGTCTCTGGTGTCACAAAGTATAAAAACAATGGTTGCAATTCTGGTAAAGACTTTTCCAAAATAACTGTTGTTTTGATTGATTGCTTGAAAGACAGCAACCTGCCCGTAGATGCATGCTGGATAACATCACTCTGAGGGTTTACACTGGCAGTGTTACTTTTGACCTTTTCACAACTTCACCAGCTTGAAGACATCTGGGATCAGCATTCATGAAGCACTTTATTTTGTGGAGCTCCTGGTTTTCTGTGCACTGAATACCAAAATGTTTTAAAATGCAGTGCCGTTTCCTGGCTGTAGATGGACAGCTACAGCCATTTTTATAAATTAAGCCAACAACCCTCAGAAAAATGTTCACCACTGTGGGAAAGCACAGGAATTTGTTTTTCAGGCGGAGAAAAGCGCCATGTGGATGGGAATGTGTCGGGATTCATTCAAATTCGTGTGACACAACTGCAAACTTATATAAAACCTACCAAAATGAAATAGAATTGAAAATTTAATATCAAACCCATTTTAAATAAAGTATATCAGACTCAGGAATAAATGCAACTTAATTATTAAAGTGAACTAAATCTTGAACTTTGCACAGAAGAAGTAAGATACACATCTTCTTCTTCAACGTGGCTTTAAAGCCATCAGAATCTCTAAAACAAGGAAATGATGACCTGCTTTTAGAGTTTTGCTAGTCTAACTGTAGTACATATGAACCAACCATGACCTGTAATCTATTACTTTGTGTTTCCAGACACAGATTCTCATGTGTATGAATCACACTGACATATTTCCCACATTCTAAAAAGGGGGGGGGAATCCACATTTGGTGGTTTTGTTGTTGGTGGAAATAATTTTGCAGTTTGCAGCAGAGACTCCAGTTTAACAGTTCAAGTCACACACTTCAAAGATTTTCACACATCGTTTGTGTTTCTTTTTTATTGTGTTATTAATTCAAACTGCATTAGGGAGTAAGATGTAGCTGTTTTAAAACTACTGGGTTAGGTCTACTTAAAACTACAATAACTCCAATTCTTTTCAAGCACTGTTTTTTGGTTGCCATGGTGATGCATCCCTGCTTTGTCTATGTGCTCCCAACATAAAACTTACTTCTGTTTATAACTATTCTAAAAATACATTTACTTATAAAGTCGCTTTTTTGCATAACAGTCAGCACAGCACCTTTTCATGACTGTTTCACAGGCTGCTTTGAGCCTGAGCTCGGACAACACGCATGAAAACACTCAACATGAAAACCCTTAACAATGTTAACGACAACCAAACATGCAGTATTTTTTGTTAGCCTCGTGTCTCTCCACGACACTTTCCCGTACACATGACCAGCGCTCCTGAGAGGTCTGATTCATTAGACTAAATTCAAAGAAATTTGAACTCTTTCAGCGTGCACTTTTCAAATTTCTCACAATGGGGATCCTTTTCCATTTTTTCTTTTAATAAATGCCTGAATGGCATGGCTAAATCTAATTCACACATAGAAAAAAATTGTCTATATCCAGCTTGCTTTAATTCTTTGTTCCTTTTGTTTATTTGAAGGCTTATGTTCCAACTAAACCCTCAAAAAGGTTCTTTTCTATTTTTCTCTGAAGTTTTGGCTGTTTGACACAAATGTCCAACTATAATTTCTTTACCCATAGAAAGTGCTAATGGCTTGGAATGTGGAGGCAGAAAAAAAACGTGGATTTCTTCATTTGTCTGATTGCTAGCTTCACTGTGAGCTGTTATCAGGTTAAAGTCTGACAGCACTGTGTAAATTTGAGTTCTTATCGGAGCCATGCAACTGGACTCTGCATCAAATACCAGTTTTTACAACATTTATGAAATGTTTCAAAATTTTAAAAAAAAAACGGCAAAGCTTTGGAGGTTCAAAGAGCAGTAAGTCATGGCCTGATGACAAACAGGCATTTCCATTTAACTGTAATTACTTTTGGCATGCAGGTACTTCAGCACAATGTACATCTGAGCATAAGCAATTATACAACAGAAGAGAGGGAAAAACTAATTTAATGGAGAAGTCTCTGCTCCTCTCTGAACATCTTTAAATGGTTTTCCTAGCAACTGAAGGTCGCTTGCTGCATAACTTCACATTGTGCTAGTCATGAGAAGCAGCAAAGTAATAGAAATGAGGGCGTTTATTTGATTAGAAAAACTTGATTGACTTTCTTTTTATTACTCAAAAATTTAGAGAGTTTATCACCTCTCTTCATTAGAGTCAAAATGCATTTAAAGTTTAATTAGGTGTATGCAAAGACTACATTTAACCATGTGCTGTAAAGAATTCATATTTCTCTTTATTTTTCTTTGGCAACAATGCCTTGTTCACCATATGCCATCAAAATCTTTAACTCCAAAATCTTAAACGTTTCACAGCTAAGGTTCAAGGTTCTGTATTCGTCACATGCAAAGTATAACACACAGTGAAATGTAACCTGACATGCTCCTCAACGAAGATGGTGTGGGGGGGGGGAACATTATATATAATATATGCAATATATACTATATATACACACACATGCTATGGCAAGGAAGAGCCAGGACAACAGCTCGGGGGGAGATATTGTCATGTAGTAGGATCCACTGTGGATCCTATAACAGAGAGACAGAACTGTACAAGGTGCACTCTCACAATATGAGACGAGCACCACCGAGGCTGGAGATAGAGCACGTGGAGTCCAGGAATTGAAGAATTGTTGTTTCTGTGTCAGTCACACATGCATGTCTTCAAACAGTGATGCCAGAGTACATGGGGAGATGGTGGTGATATGGACCTCTTATTTACGAGGTTTATGATCAAGCTTGCAAGCATTAGCTGATCATTTCAGTACTGCATGTCCTAAGGCACATGAATCACTAATACCCAAGGCTCGCAGAATCAGACTTTGTAAGAGCAATTACTCATAGCACTGCTTTTATATACAGTATAACTACATTTGTTTTTAATGAATCCATAAAATCATTTATGATTCAAAGTCTGAGTTTAAGCAGATGATTTATTGGAATACAATTCCTCTTCATGCTACAAGCCGGACACCTATGCAGGCGGGGTGCAGTTTTTTTGTTTCTAACACAGAAACTGCCTACGAGTGCCTGCAGAAAGACGTCTCTTTTCCCTTAACAGATGCACAGATTTATGCTCTCTGCTGCAGTTTAGCTACTTCAGCTGTATTCAGTCAGGTGGCTAAAAGTGAGGTAGTTAACACAATCAGTACAGTGCCTGTTTGTGTGTGTGTGCCTGAGAGTGTGTTTGAGTGTGTGCCTGAGTGTGTATGTGTGTGTGCCTGAGTGTGTATGTGTGCGACTGATGGCAGGGAATAGAGGTTAGACCATCAGGCCAGAGAGATAAGAGCTATAGTTTGATCCTCCCAAAGCACTCGACTGCCAGCCCAGCCAAGCCCATCAGACCTCATCTGAACTGCATGCCAGTTCACTGACAGTGTTTGTTTGCATTTTTATGGATAGATAGTGTGAGTGTGAGTGTGAGTGTGAGTGTGTGTGTGTGTGTGTGTGTGTGTGCGTGTCTGTTTTAAATGCTTGCGTGTCAACATCTCTTTCTTTACTCTTCCAGCCATATGCCCTCCTATCCTTACACAAACTCCTGCAGCATGGATAGCTACACATCTAGATAACAAGCACACTTAAATATAGAGCAATGAGACTTTGCTCCCGAAGGTGGTTTGAACTGGATCAAGTCAGAGATATATACAGAGAGTCTGAGACAGTGAAATAGGAGCTATGAAGTGCATACTGTCAGCTTGGCTGTAATTCAGGCTGTTTCCCTCTTTAAAGCACAAGATCCTGGATGGTGACAGAAGAGCTAATCCTTATAGCGACAGTGGGCTGTGGGCTGGGTAATCACTATAGGAAAGAGTGTATGTGTGTGTGTCAGTGCCTTTCCTAATATGTACAATCGCAATTCCAAAAAAAGTTGGAACACTATGTAAAAGAAAAACAGAATGAAATGATTTCTGTATTCACAACAGAACATAGAAAACATATCAAATGTTTAAACTGATGTACTATTTTCTGTAAAATATTAGCTCATTTTAAATTCTATGCCAGCAACACATATGATAGATGTTGGCAACAAAAGGCTGAAAAAGTAACCAGTGTTAAAACGAAAGAGCAGGATGAACATTTTGCATCTAATAAGGTTAATTAACAGGTCAGTAACATGATGGGTATAAAAAGAGCATCTTAGAGAGACACAGTTTGTCAGAAGTAAAGATGGGCAGGGGTTCTCCAATCTGCAACAAACCTGCATTTATAAATTGCAAAAAATGTCATAATAGTGTTTCTTAATGGAAAATAATGACTTTGAACATCTCCTCATCCACAGTACACAATGGTTTGTTTTTTTTGGCCTGTCCCGTTTGGCTCTTTTGCCATCAGAATTGTTGTCTAAAGGCAAAGAAAGATGCCCAACGGATTTACTTTACCAAATTGACCATCCCAGCCTTGCTGTAATGGTCCATTTGATTCACCTTTTATTGTTTATTTTATTTTCACTTACTGAATACGGGACAGACTTGACTGGGGGAAAGAAGGGGAGAAAGAAAGAGGGAAAGAGAAACAGCTGAGAAGAGGGACGGGGGAGAAGGGCAAAAGACAAAAACCAACAGAATGAGCAGAGAAAAAAAAATGCATATATCGATCACCTGGATCACCTGCTGAGAAAGAAAAAAGAAAACAAGCAGAAGAGAACAAGAGTAATAGAATAAACAACATCACAATGATATATCGGAATATGACAGTAAATACTAAATATTAAACATTATTGTGCAGCACATAAGATCAACAGAACACAGTGTGCTTTGAGGTAGGAGCCAAAAAGGGTGTAGTTTGTGGGTGTGATCACCCGTGTGTACACCTGTGAGCATGGACGCGCTTGTTTTTTGTTTTTTTTAAAGGTTCCTTCATGTAATAATCTGCTAGAGGGTGTGGGGGGGCCACAGCCCCGTCCTCCAGGGCGTGAAGCAGGTGTGGAGGAGATCAAAACTCCAGACATCCAGAGGCCCCCAGAACACAATGTTACCAAACGTGTCAGAGAATCTGTAGAAATCTCTGGATGCAA